AAGGAGGCTGAGGAGACACAGAACAATATAAGCTTCACAAAGTCCAAGTGGAAACCCATCTGCAACATTATCTTTTTCAAACACATCCATTCCACTCGATCAAAGGCCTTTATTAAATCCAGTTTTAAAGCCATAAAAAAGTAGGGTCTAGAGGAGTGCCTATTTAAGAAATGGAAAGCTTCCTGACCAATTATAACATTATCTACCAACTGTCTATCCTCCACAAAAGCTGCTTGATAGGGACTGATGCATTGAGATAAGCAACCTTTAAGTCTAACAGCCAGAATTTGAAACTATCTTGTAAACCACACTACATAAGCTTATAGGTCTGAAGTGCCCCATAGAATCAGGATTTGAAATTTTAGGAATCAGAGAGATAATAAAGTGATTCCAGTATTTGAGGATATTACCTGTCTGAAAGAAGCTGAGGACAGCAGCCATAAGATCTTTTTTAATAGTGCTCCAAAAGTGCTGGTAGAATGCTGCTGTCATGCCATCCTCTCTAGGAGATTTATCTGGATGCAAGCTGAATAGAGATTGTTTCACTTCATCTTCCTCCACTGGTTTGATTAAGTCTTTGTTCATTTCCTCAGTTATGGAGGTGGGTATTAGATGCAAAATGTTGTCACCACCCAAACTGCCCTCAGTGGTGAAGAGAGTGTGATAGAACTCAGCCACATGCTTTTCAATATCTTCTTGACTAGTTAGAACAGTGCCTTGTGAGGAAATCAACCTTGTGATGGCATTATTCCTTCTCCTCTGGAGTGTAAGAGCATGGAAAAACCTTGTGTTAGCATCCCCTTCTTTAAGCCATTTGGACTTGGCTTTTTGCTGCCAGTATATTTCTTCTTGCTTATGTGCCAAGTTCAGGTTCCTCCTTGTTGCCTCCCATTCCTCCCAGTTTATGGTAGCTTTATCTGAATTGAGGCTTTCAAGCTTCTTAGTAAGAGCAGCAATATCTCCTTGCCTCTTAGTTTGAAAGCTGGAGCTCCATTTGAGTAGAGCAATTCTTGTCAGTTTGATTTTTTCTTTAAGCTGAAAGAAGGGAGTGCCTTGAACCTCAGTGAGCCAGACCTGTTTAACCACTTTTTCACAACCTTCCATGAGTAACCATCTCTTATCAAAGTGGAACATGGTTTTCCTTCTCCTTTCTTGCTTGTCTTGGTTCAGCAGAAGAGCTGTGTGGTCAGATGCACTCCTAATTTTGTTGATAAAAGCTGCATTAGGGTGAAGTTGATTCCAATCCATAGACCCAAAGGCTCTATCTAACTTTTTCTCCACCAAGTATGGGTGAGCTCTGTTATTACACCATGTAAATAATGGCCCCTCCATTCTGATTTCCTCCATAGCCATTCTGTTGACAAAATTAGTGAACCCTGATAAAGAAGTTGAGTTCCTTGGATTACCTCCAGCTTTTTCAAAGGAATATAGAATATCATTCCAATCTCCGACTGCAAACCACATATTACCCCAGGAATCTCTATCTGCAGTCAACACTTCCCACTGAGTTGTTCTGATACTTCTGCCTGGGCTAAAATAAACAAAAATTCCCCACTGAGGAGCTTCTTGTGGGAGATAGAATTCCACTGCTAAATAGAAGTCTTTAGGAAGAATTTGCAAAATAACAACATGAGGTTTCCAAAAAAGAGCTAAACCCCCACTGAGCCCTGAAGGGTCCACAGTTGTGAACCTGTCTTCAAAACCCAGTTTCTTACTGACTGTATTTACAAACGCTTTGGATTTTTTGGTTTCTGAAAGAAAAAGAAAATTTGGGTGGTGAGTTGTCAATAACTCTCTGATTTGGGAAATTGTAGAGGGCCCACCCAGCCCTCTACAATTCCACACCATAGCTAACATTGATCAGTTGGGTGCCATCCGAGGCTGGCAACCCCCACCTTTTCAGAATTAGAATCTATATTTGAGATATCACTTGCTTCTGGATTTTAGAGTCCTTAGCTGATATTTGAATATCAATTTCAGAGGAAGTCCTCTTGGAGCCAGAGATGCTATCAATCTCTATTGGAGTATCTTGCTCTCTCTGAAGTCTTCCTAATTTATTTCCCATTCTCTTCCAAGTCTTAAGGGGAGCCATTAATGATTTAGCAACTGCTCCATGGCTCAGAGTAAGTGTCACCTTGTCTGTGATAGCTTGCTCTTGTACATCCATCATAGTCGAAATTTCCTTGCTAGCCGGTTCTGAAATGACCAGGGTCCTTGTCTCCTTGGCAGCTCTATTAGAAGATGAAAAAGATTGTGTAGAATCTAATTCCCTTGGAGATGGAATGACATCAGCAGCTTCCTCTAGCTGCTCCTCTGGGAGTTGAGTAGTTTCTGGAGCAGGGATAAGCTGATTGTTGTTTCCAGTTTGACTGGTAGAAGCTCTATGAGATGTCCCTTGTTCAACAGTGGATGGGGAATTGGGAGGAGGTGAGCTTCTATTCCCAGATGTAGAACCGCCCCATCTTAGTCCTTCAGTTGCCCTCAACCAGTCTCCATATTGTCCCTCCTTGAGGTGTTTTGATTTAATGTCTTGAATTCTGATCTGACACGATCTGTCTAGATGACCAATTTTTCCACAGTAATGACAGAGGCTCATGAGTTTCTCGTATTTGAAACCAACACTGACCATATCTTCCCCCAGC